TCATTAGAAATGATACAAAATTTCATTAGACAAATTAATAGGAATTTGACCATGCTTGTTTTATTGCATAATGTTATCTTCAAATTAGTTGTTTAGGTTACTAGATATAAACCTGCAAAATTGATTATTAAAAAACATTACAAGAAATTTTTAAAAAATAATAATTTTTAAGCATTAACTATTTTCAATACACCAGCAGAAATAAACAATGCAATTATCCAAACTATCCTGCGTATATACATAAACATCTTTTTCCCTTTCTTTTGTTCATTTCCTCATCCCAGTTTTTCCTTGCCATTGAAGATTCTTTCCCTTTCCAATTTGCTCTCTTACCTACGAAAGTCTTAAAATGTTTTCATAGGTTTTTCACTTAGTAACTAGCACATTCCTATTGTTGAATTAATTTGAATCTAGGAAAACACCTTTAAAGGGAAAAACAGGACTTTTGCTCAAGAATGTGACTGTAGCACATTGGATTTGGAAAAGAAAAAAAGGGGGGGGCAATCTATGCAACAGCTAAAGAATGGTTGATAAGAGCTTATGATAGAATATCATAATGTAGACTTTAAGATCATGAATTCATAACCAGGTTTGATAGCACATATCTGTCATCCTAACTACTCAGGAGGCTGAGGCAGGAGAATCTTAAGAGGCCAGCCTGGGAAACACAGTGAGACCCCGTATCAAGAATTGAACATTTTTTTTTTAAATACCGTGTTTATTAAGTGATCTAGATATGGAAAAATACTGATATTATAAAATAAACCTTACCTAATTGAGACAGCACATTAATTTAGTATTAATGAAGGTAGGATGCCAGCAAATAAGTAGTAAAACTTTAATACTATCTTAGACTACAATTAAAACCCAACATCTGCTGAAAAAATGCATATTCTCAACCCATTAAATACTGTCCCTACGTTACACAGTGGCAGTATCTCCTAATCTTTAACACCATAAGGAGGAAGTCAGAAGTTTCACTTTTGTGATTGTCTGAGTAATTTAAGAATAAACACGCACAGTTGGTGACTCCACATCCTCGCACACTACCAACTCAGCACCCAAAAGAATCAAAGCCTCGGAATGCACGTGATGAGGTAAGAGCAGTAACAACACTGTGATGACTCCAACGTACTGGAGTCCTCATAATAATCCGTCTTCGAAAGTTACTGCTTCGCACTTTAAGACCAGGGCTCAAGTTCAAAAACTGTAAGAAAAGAGCCAAAGCCCACGTGCACAGAACCTGAACTCAGGCCCGCACGCAGCTCGCGGCGTCCCCGCGCACACGCGCGAAGCCGCAGGGCTTCGGTCCCGGCATCCACCGCGTTTTCCAGTCTCCCCCCCTTCCTCCCCGCGCCTACGTGAGCGTCCCCTTGCAGCGCCGCTCCTCCTCCCTTCCGCGCGGGCCGGCCGGCGGGGACCGGGCCTCCCAGCGCCCTGCCACCCGCCAATGGGCTCGGCACCCTCGGGCTCGACCCCACAGAGCGTTCGGGGCGCGGACGCCCGGCCGCAGAGCCGGGCAGCAGGGAGGGAGTCCAGACCGGGGTGCGCGCCGGGCCGTTTCCAGGGCGACCGAGCGCCACCGCCGGCCGGCCCCGCCCCTGCGATCTTGCCGCTCCGCCCCTCCCCAGCGCCGGCGCTCGGCCCAGCCCCGGCTCCCGGCTGGGAGAGAAGCCCTGGGGCCTCGCCCACCTCTCAGCGCGTGGTGCATGCCGCCGATGCCGCTGTACAACTCCAGGACCCTCAACGGCGCCATGCCTTCGCCGCCGGAGCCCGGGCTAGGCCTGCCGGTCCCCCCCGTTTCTCTTCCCTCCGGTTCCTGCCGCGCTTGGCGCATCTAGTTCCGGGATTTTTCGGCCCCCTCCCCTTGCCACACACTCACATTCCTAAGACTAGGGAGGCCCAAGGCCTAGGGGGATGGCAGGGGTCGGAACAGGAACAAAGGACAGAAAACAGTAAAGTTTCCCAAGTGCAAAGCAGGCACTCGGTGATGTGATTTATGCTCTGTTGTCTTTGTTTGGTGTTTTTGGTTTGGTAGCAAAGAGTGTGAAACAAACCGAGAGATCAGTAGATGGGCTAAAACTGCCTTCCCTTCAGAGTACATTATAGAATCCAGAAAAAGTCATTCTTCACGTGGGTTGCTTTTCCCACCTTTAGACCTGTGAAATGTTCAAACATTCCCTCCGCGGCACCGATGGAGATGAGCCAGACCAGCCTCTCCCTAGGTAGGGAAGGTGCCACAGTGACAAGTACCCAGAGTGGAGCCCTGATGCTGTAGACCGTGCTTGCTGCAGTTGTTAGTAAGGTCAGTTATATCGTACTTGGGACAATACCCCCAGGTAGCATATGCTGTTACTATCCTGGAGGAGTATGTGTGGGCCTCCAAATGCTAAGGCTTGGATTGTCCTGGAAAGTCCAACGACCAGATTGCTAGAAGCATGATTATAAACTAAGATTTATTAATCACATGGAGAAGAAATGTTCTCATTGGGACGAATGTCCTTCCATTTGTTCTCAGTGCTGCCACTGGGTACCACTGTTAACTCTTGCTAGGAAGAATTCGGGTCTATCACTTGCAGCGAAAGTAATTGTGAGTTTGGTATGCTTGATAATGTAATACTTTTAATAGATATTAACAAAATTATAACTATTGTATTCAAATTTTAGAATTGACTTTTTTTTTTGTATTTCGTACAGGGTCTCACTACACAGAATGGACTCTTAGTGATATACCTGTGTTCAACCTCCCAAGAGCTGGGATTATAGCTGTGCCACCATGCTCAGTCTCAGTCACTGTCTCAGCACGCTCTGGGGACAGGGCGGGCACTGCAGGGCCAGGGATTGAACCCCTGGCCGCTGCATCTGCCTAAGCAGGCGCTTTAATCTGCTGGCTGGCCTATCTCATCCATTTTGATGTGGTCTATGAGATTAACTTTCTGAACTAAAAATGCATGTTGTCTCCGAAGTGTTCTGTTTTTATTGGTTACGTGAGAGTTATATTAGAAAGCTACAGAAGCCTGAGTGGTAGCCTTGGCAGTGCCAGTAACTGGGTGTGATTCTGAGATAAGCCTGGTTTCCTCAACTGTAAACCAAAGGGGAAGGAAGAGGTAGAGACAATTGCTGAGCCTTGGTGATTCCAAACTTCCAGCGCCCAAGCCGTATTTGAAAAAAATGGGCTGTGATTTGTCCCCGTGTTAATTGCCTAATCAAACTAAAATATCTAGAAAGAAAACTTAAAAAAAAAATCTTCCAAGCCAGTGTATTGTTAAACCAGCTCAGCATATAGAAACCCTGTACATAGTAGCACATATCTATAGGATGAAGCATACTTATTAGTGCCAAAAATACATAGCAGTATAAAAAATACAAATAGAGTTGCATAGTCCTAGTGATTTATATTAAACAAATCTAGACTCACTTCAGGATTAATGCTATAAATCGAAATAAAAGTGACAAAAGATTTTTTCCCCGTGGGGGAGAGAAATAAATACATAAGTGGCATAGTTAATGAAAAATGTCAACTTAATGAAAAAGGCGGGTGGGACCTTAACCCAGAATTGTCTTTAAAATCACAGACAAGCTAATTACAAGCTGTTCACTTCTGTGATACTTGAGGGTCTTCACAAGTAGCTTGAAACTTACTTTTCTTCCTCAACTTCACTATCTTTCATTTTTGAACTCTGGTATAAATTAAACTGCTCAGAATTTACAAAGCATTCCCTCTCCTCTTCCACTTCTCTGCTTAATTTGCCTTGCTCATGTTGTTCACCTTCCTAAAAGTCTCCTCGCCTTCTTCAAGGCCGGCCCTTCCAAAGGAACACCCTTCTAGACGCTCACACTCCTCAGGCTCCATTCAGTTTTCTCAGCCGCTGACACACATATCTTCACTAGCCCCAGCGCTGAAACCTTTGTGTTTCTGTAGACCAGTTTTCAGTCCTATCTGCAACTCTTTGTGTCGTCTTTCCTCTCTAGAGCTAATTACATGTGATAATCATTTCGAGAATAAAACCTTACTCTATAATCATGATTCACAATCACTTCCATGGAAACCTGTATCAATGTTAAGCTCCCTTGGATTATGTAGAAATTCTCTCCAGATTGCTGTTACAAATTGTATGAGTTGGAAGGAGAATGTAGAGGGCTGGGAACTGAGGGGAACACAACAGGGCGAAGCTGAGGAGAAAGGTAGTGTGAGCAGATGTATATATATATATATATATATTTCACAATAGTTGTTTATAAAGAGAAAAATCTCTAAACTCACCACTTCTCATCAAATTATCTTCAATGACATATGCCAAGTGTTCATATTAGAGAAACTCAGGCCAGCTGGATAGCTCAGCAGACTAAATACCTGCTTCGGCAGAGCACAGGGGCCAGGGTTTGATTCCCAGTGTGCCATGCTGGCCCTGCCCCTGAGGCATGCTGAGACAGCGATTGAAACTGGGCATGGTGGCTCGAGCCTGTAATCCCCATGCTTGGGAAGCTGAAAACAGGAGAATCACTCCAAGTCTAATATACGCAGTGAGACCCTTTCGACCCTGCAGACGCTGTACCAAATACATAAATAAAAAAAAAACTAATTAGAGAAGCTCAATACATTTTTTAAAAACACATAAACAAATGTCAGCACTTGGACTTTAGTGTAGTCTATATTTTCTCTTCCAACATAAAACATATTTTAAAGAAAATTTTAGCTAACACCTAGGAAATAAAGGCAGATTTAAAGCATGTAAGAAAGATGCACACACCACACTACCAAGGCATGCATTAAAATTATAATAGCACACTCAATTATTGAAGGGCTCACTGTGTAACTTGGAATCCAATGTCATTTCCTTCTTCCTCTCCTGCCTGTCCTTAATATCTAAAAAAATTAAACAAAGTCTGCCAAGTGCTTAAAATAATTCTGGCAACCATCTTTCAGTTTCCACGATCCAGTCCAGTCTTTACTCCCCAGTGAAATGCAATTTGGATTCCCGAATAGGCTCAGCTACAGGGAGAGACTCAACCAGCTTATGCCAGTTTTAGTGATGAGCAGCTTGCTCTCCGGTTTTATACAGAGGAAGAAAGATCTTTAGGAATTTCACAGAAAATAAGAATGTCATCAGATGGAATAAATCAATAAATGTCTTCAGGAAAGGAGAGAGTAATCAGAAGAAACTTGAAGTGGAAAGATTCCCAGAGTTCAGCTACCACATGAGTGTGCACAAACTTGAGGCTGCTCTCCACCAGGTTGGTACCCCAGCATTAAGCCTGGGCTGTGGGCTGCTAACGAAAGGGTACAGTGTCCTTCGTAGATTGAGCCATTTGTTGATGTTGAGTTTGAATTATTAGAAAATCCTTCTTTATCGTCAAACTCCAGTGTCCTTAGGTTTGCCCTCTGCACCAACATTCAAAAACTCTTTCCTTCTTATATATGGGTTCTGTGACAGTTAAGATTGTAAGCTCAAAAAACCACGTTATAGAGAGGAATCAGATGTCTGTACTTCCTACCAGTGTACCTAGTACTTAACCTCCCTAAATGCACCTTGAAATTGCATAAATAAGAGGACATGTGGTTGCTATGCAGAGTAAACCAGGAGTAAAAGTACTGTGTCTAATGCCTAGCAAACAAAAATAAACATATGCTGGTTAAATGGTGTCTGTATACAGTAACACCTTTGCATCTACTGTTTTGTACTCTGCAGTTTTAGTTACCTGCAATTAACTGGAGTCAGGAAATACCAAATGGGAACATATAAGAACAATTCATACATTTTAAAATATGCACCATTCTGAGAAAGATCATAAAATCTTGTCCAAGCCCCACTCCAGCTGCCCTCAGGGTGAAGTCATTCCTTTGTCTGGCACATCCATGTGATACATACTACCTACACATAACATTCAGATTATCAGATCAATTGTCACGGTACTATGGCACTTGTAACTCACAGCTCCAAAGCACAAAAGAAGTGATGCTGGCAATTTTATTACAGCATATTTCAGCATATTTTTATAATTGTGCTCTTATTATTAATCTCTTACCATGTGTAATTTTTAAATTAATCCTTATCATAAGTTTGTGTGTATGTATGTATAGAAGAAATATAGCAGACTCATGGTATAGTACTGTGATTGTTTCAGACGTCTCCTGGGGGTCTTGGCTTATCTCCCTCCAAAATAAGGGTAACTACTGCAATGACAATAGCCGAGTGCTACATCTTCAGTTTCTTCAAGTGTGCCATCCAGTACAAGTCACACACCTCTTGGCAATCCATCCAGGTTGGTAATACCTGTTTTAGAAGCCATAAATGAACACCAGACCCTGAACACAATCAGATCTGAAACCATAAAGTGTTCCAGAAGGCCACTGACATCTTAGGGTCCTAGGACACTATGGATCTCCTTGGAAGTGATCAGGAATATCCTGGGCTTGACTAGGGGTGAGTAAAGGGCGGGAATATGGAATCCACTGACACAGGTGTTGGGGAGCTGAGCACAGAAACACAGTAAGGGCAAGGACAAAAAGCAGCACTCATAGTAGGAGGTACTCTCTAATTCTTAGTTCACAGAAAGACCAGCACAGCTGTGAAAAGTAGGCCTGCAGACTTGGCATTCACCAGGGAAAACTGCCTAAGTAACTTTACTCAGAATGCGTGAGTGGAGGCAACCTGGGGTGGAAATGACAGGAAACCTCAGCCTCAAGTCACGTATTGACTCTACTGTGTTAGCCACTGTAGAAATTTTCAATTAATTCTTTTCAAGGTAAAATTCTGTTGTCTACTGAAGACTATGCAGTTGC